GAAGTACATAATCACTGTTTGAACAGAATGTTCCTTTAAAATGCAATTGAGATTGCATATTTCAAGGCTGTTAGAACAGCAACTTAACAGCCTGTCTGGCAACACAATTTTGTTCCTTATTGCTTCTCCGCAATACGTTTAGAGGTCAGGAAATTAAACTTTTTAGGATTATAAATACCCTTATCCTTGCTTTCTCTGCTTAGACACAGTGATTGCACTCGTAATCTTTTACCCATGCTGAATTGTCCTGTAAAATATGCTTTAACATTTTACCATATGGTTTGCTAAATTTGAACTAAAAAGTGACATCCTAAAGAACAATACAGAGATATTTAGATAGGGAAAAAAAAAGTATGCTAATAATTTCAAAATAGATATAAAATACTTCTAAAATTTCAATATAAGGTACATGTGTATATATGTATACTCTCACTGACAGTTGAAGTGATTATAATAAATTATTTCTATAGTGAAAATTCTAAGAAAAGGAAAGTTACTATGGTAGAGTGTTTTTTACTACCTCAAGACAGCACAATTTCATCAAAACGTGTGATGAAAATTTTTTCATCAAAAAATTTCAGCATAAATTTGAAAATTATGGAGAAGCTTTAACCAAGAGGAAAATCACCCACATTTACACTATGTGCACATGTTGCAGTTTTTTCAATTTTGATTCGCAAAAAAAATATCATGATAAAATTACATTTATTTTTCTTTTAATATAAGGACTGTCATACTATCTATGCATTAGTGCCAATCTCATTTGAACAGTAGCTCCAAAATTAGAAACTTACCAAATAAATGCTCACAGAATCCTTTCTATACACATCATTCTTCCGCCACAGTTGAATAAGGAAAAACAGAGCAGACAGAAAGCAATGATTATATACACTATAAACATAACTTTAGAAATATTTATAAAATTACAAAGAGAATGGAATCATATTTATTAGTTTTGTTTTTGTTTTTTTCCCCCATCAGTGGTTCTTTTTGTTTGAGTTGATCTTTTAACTTTCTAAGTTTTCCTTTCCTCATCAGTTAAATTAGCCATCTGTCTGCCACAAAGGCATTTCTGTAAGAATCACCTAAAAATTGTAAAGCTTTTTCGTTGCTAAGGACAGAGGGCATTAACAAGTTTTGCAATGCCTCTAAGCCATGTCAATTTGAAAGGAACTGAAGTCAGTGACCTAGATTCTCTTCACTCACTTACAAAGCCTCTAATCTGTTTAGGGCATTGTATTTTGTAATATAAATATGCTAAGATGTATTTAAAAATTTCTAATTATGGAAAAATGGCAAATGAAACAAACACAAGGATCTCAGAAAACTTCAATGAGAAGCTGGCCAAACTAACAAAAAAGGGAGCAGATGATGGCTTCATAATCAGGATCCAGTGGAACGTGGCTGTCTATCCATCACTTTGTCATTTCAATTGTATCTCCGAAGCACATATGAAAAATGTATTGGTTTATATCACGTAAATGTAATATCATAATAACATTTTGCATGTGTACGGTTTCTAGACTTGTAATGTGACTTTGGACAAAATCTAAAATAGGTGCTCTGTGTCAAAAGGGAAATATTAACTCTACAGAAATGGAAAAGATTTACAATTAGTGTGATAAAAACATATGCCCCTATTCAGTTAGAAAAATTGATAACCACATTGCAAAATGAATTCCAAGGAGGGGAAAAGAGATATTCTAAAAGAAGCTTAATACTGGGCAGTGCAGGACAAAATATCAAGCCCTAAGAGAAAAGATACTGGCTAGAAATGGTCATTTTTAGTTAGTTAGAAAGGAAAAGATTAAAATAGCATTCAAGCATGTCTCTTTCTTTCTTATTCTTATTCATCTGATAGAAAAACAAAACGATGATTTAGATTTCCCTATTCTTTTCCTATTGTGTATCCAACCCAAAATTCTATAAACATGCCATAATATAATCATAATGTAATACGAAAAAATATGTTATCAAAATTAAGTAGTAAAAGAAAATGCTAAGTTGTCCTCTAAATCATAGTGGGTGACCATTTCAGAAAGTTAAGAAATAAGATAACAACACACTAGGGTTAGCTTTAGAATTGACATCTGTCCTGTGTTTTTGAAGACCAAGATGTCAACACTGACTCCAGCATCTTGAAAATCATCACAAATAAAATAAAAATATATATATGCTTGGTAGGCACAAAGCCCTGGCTTAGTAAGCAGTACTGTGTCCCCTCCAAAAAGTTGCTCTGCATTGAAACAAAAATCTTGTGCCTCAAATGAAACTGTAAGTAGCTGATTTGGTTAAAATTGCTATTTTTTTTTAACAGGCTATACTTTTAATCCCTAATTTTCCTCTCCAATTTTGTTCAGTATTTTGCTTTTTTCCTCATAACTACCTGTAAGTGTACCAATTGCATACATATACACAGATAATATCATAATACAAGAAGTCATCCAAGGATGACTAGTATGTTGCTATCATGTTCATGAGCTTGGAGTTTACACCCGGGTTCAAATTCAGGCTGACCTTGCATTCTCTAAGCCTCTTCAGTTCATATTTAGAAATATTTGTATTATTACTTACTTTGCAAAGTTGCTGTGTGAGTACATGAGGTCATGCGATTGAAAATAACACATTGTCTGAGCCATAACAAGTATAAAAATAAGTTTCCTTTTCTTCCCCTTTAGTCAAAGAGAGTTTTAATTTTTAGGTTTACAGTTATAGCTGCTAACCAAAAGGTCAGCAGTTCGAATCCACCAGCTGCTCCTTGGAAGCCCTACGGGGCAGTTCTACTCTGTCTTATAGGGTCCCTATGAGTCAGAATCAACTTGACGGCAACGAGTGAGTGAGTGAACCTTAAATCTCAGTTTAACAGAGTTCATTCACCTTACATTATTAGAGGAATAGTCAGGTTACATGTTAATCACTATTGCCAGACTTGGTCCCTGAATTTTGTTTTGAGTAGTAACAATGGATTTACATTGTTACCTTGTATTTATAAAACAACTGACAAGGATTATGGGCACAGACTCAACATAGAAAAGGAGCTGATAATTGGCTCCATAGGATAATTGACCTTGATATTTTAAACAGGTTGTGCTAAGTGACTCAGTAACCAGACACACACTTACTTAGATAAATGTTGAGGGGTGAAAGGTAAGGATAAACTTTCTCCATTTGCTACAGAGATTTATCATGGTACAATTTTCTGGTGTCATTAATTAATTTACTGACAGATTATTGATTTAGCAAATGTTTACTTAGGACATATTTCACACATAAGAAACATAATATTACATGAGCCAAAGATAATAAGATGTGATGCCTATTTTTTAAAAAATTCTTAATCTAATGAGAACAAAGAAGATAGAAAGAAGTATCAGTGGTAGAGTTACACATGCAAAATATTCCATCCTGTATCTCCAAATTTGCTGTTGGATTTAGAATATTTAATGAGCAAATACAAGCTTTTGAGCTAGTTCTTAAAAAGACTATAGGGTTGGTTTGCGGCAGAGCTGGAGCAAGGTGTGACTTAGAAATCATTAACAACGGGAAGTATGACACTTCCTCCAGGAATATGTATACAGAATTGGGATTTTATTTCCCAGGTAGATTGTATTTTGTCTGGATGAGTGATAGAGCAAATGGTCTCTCATTACTCCATCTAGGTCTATGTTTAGAGTGATCAAATTTGTCACTTTGAATCTGGATATAAAGCTCATTTGCCCAAATGTATTTACATAACAGAGGCATTAGTATTTTATTAAGCTATCTTTTGTGCTGAGTGATATGGAAAATAATTGATAACCCAATAAAAATGTTTCATCTGATCTTTTCAGGCACATCTACATTAAAATTATGTTTGAACCTTGGTAATCTACCTACCTTCTGTCTTTAGCCCCTTTCCTCTCTAAAATGCCTTTTGGACTCTCCCACGAGCATCTTCTAATGGAGAACTCATATTTCCCTATTGCTTCATCTTTCTCCCTGCCCTCATGCGTTACAGGATCTTCACCCTACGTTCAACAGGCACACTGCCGCCAAAACTATTATCTTCAAATACTTAAAACTGTCAGTTAATGACACCCCACTGCAAAAAAATCAGCACTGGCATATTTGCTATCACGCTCCTGTCCTTCATTTGAAACAGAGTTAATCAATCACAGTACATTTATTTATTCACTCAACAAATATTTACTGGACACATTATAAGCCAGTTACTGTACTGGATATAGGAGATAAAATGGGTGAGAAAAACAGACACAGCCACTACCCTTACAGATTCATGTAGATAAGGGTTCATCAAATAATCCCACTAACAAATGCAAAACTTCAGCTGTTGCAAGATCAATGACGGTAAGCTGGGTGATGCTATGAGACGTTGTAATGGAAGTTTTGACCTAGTTGGTGAAGGGGAAAACTTCCCTGAGATGAGGATTCAAACTGAGATGTGAAGAGAAGAAATTAATGAGATGGAGAGAGGAAAGCATTCCAGGAAACAGGAACAACGTATCCAAAGGCCAGAGGCATATAGAATTTACCAGAAGCTTAAAGCCCTGTCCTTATATGCGTTCCTCTCCTAAGTCCCTGGGAGGGGTCCTCCTAGCAATGTATTTGAAAGTCTTATTAAAAAAAAAAAAAAGCCTTATATATATTATTTACATATGTATATGTAAATGTATACAAAAATCTATACATATATATGGAGTCCTGGTGGTGTAGTGGTTAAGAGCTCAGCTGCTAACCTAAAGGTTGGTAGTTCGAATCCACCAGCCTCTCCTTGGAAACTCTATGGGGCAGTTCTATCCTGTCCTGTAGAGTTGCTATGAGTCAGAATCGACTCGACGGCAGTGGGTTTGGTTTATACATATATACATAGATGTAGATGTAGATATATTTATAGAATTTTTTTTTTTTAATCACAATCAAGTAAGACCATTATTGTCTTCCATTCAGATTTTTCCTCTGCGTTCAGATGGTTCTGGAGTGGTCAATGGAATTTTGAGGATACAGCTAAGTGGAAGTTGAGTTTGGAGTACATTAATTTGGCCTTGGGTGAGTTACATTCATTCTGAATTTTGTTAAGTTATTATTAATCATTCCCATGTAGGAAATTACTTTCAAGAATATTCTTAATACCTACAATCCTGACTCTCCAGCACTGTCAAAAGACAGTATGAGCCAAGGGTTGAACAGTGAATAGAACTAATCTTGTGGTTCCTGATACCAGAAGTGTGTGGATAATAGAGAAGAAATGAAGTTTTAAATTTATAAAACAAGAGGCTAGTCTGTGTAAAATTCTTCAAATTCTCACAGCTCATAGTATATGAAGGAAAATTGGTAGGGATTTTTTTTTTAATGTGACATTCTAAAGCTTTACACATTACCAATAAGAAATTATGAGGCAGAAAAATAGTTTCCTGAACTAGGAATCATAAAAAAAATTAATAAATTTTAAGCTTGCTAGAGGAAAAGTTGATTTATCTTTCTATTCTCTATAAAAATGTGACATAGCAAATTCATTGTCACAGGAAAAAGTGATAAAAAATAATGCAGCCAAAAATGCAGGGAAAAAGTAATATATAAAGTTGAATTGGGCAGCTGGTTAATAAAAATGAATTATTTTTCTGGATTTGGATTTTGGATATTTGTAGCATTTGTCAACTTTTTCACATTCATATTTATTGTGATTCATGGTGTCATTCTAAATAAATAGTCACTTTAGTACTTAATTGTCTTTTCTCTTTATTCATATTTTTAAATGGTTTTAAGATATCCTCCCCATTGCCATCAAGTTGATTCTGACTCATAGTGACCCTGTAGGACAAAGTAGAACTGCCCCATAGGGTTTTCAAGGCTGTAGTCTTTACAGGAGCAGACTGCCACATGTTTCTCCCATGGAGCGGCTGAAAGAGTTGGAACCACCAACATTTTGGTTAGCAGCCGAGGGCTTAACCACTGTTTCACCAGGGCTTTTAAGATATCCTACCCTTTGTTAATTTACGGGCAATGATAGTGTGACAGTTTTAGGAGACACTGAGGTTTGTAACTTCTTTTCAGTTCATATAGATGGCTTCTAAAAACTGTTTTTTTTTATGGTCATGTCTTTTAATAATAGCTTCTTTTTTTTTAACCTACTCTTTCCACTTTTCTATGTCAATATGACCAATTTAGAGTATTTGCCACAAAGTATGTGATAGAGAAATATGGATTAATGAATAAACTATTTAGATATTATCTTTAGCCCAAGGGCTTGACTTGTTCAAAAATTCTTCTGTTGCTAAAGAGCATAAAATTTTTTGCAGATGTATATTTTTAGTTCAATATTAATTTCTATCCTTAGACTGTGGTTGACATTGTTGGGATTCTAACCTCCAGAGAAATGGAATGTTACTATGTATCCATATTTTCCAGGTACATCCTTCTATGTTGTATACTGCTAGGGCCTAATTCGTAGGCTGGAGGAAGGAGGGTGGGGAGAAAAGCAAGGTGGCTGAAAGCAGACTCCACAGAACACAGACATGTTCTCTCTTTACATCCCTTCCTATCCTGTGGGTCATGCATCCTCCTTTGGGGTCTATAATATGTATCACAGACATACATAGTACTCACTGGTTTATAATATTGGGAGAAGGTTTAATGCCTGCATATAATTAGCACCCAATGTATATTTGTTGAATGAATGACTACATGAACATATGACTGTCATTAATTAATTACTTGGCTGTTTGGTTAATAAAAAGTAGAAGAATCCTTCCCTGCTAGTCCGAATTTTCCAGCTCAGTCTAAACTAATTATTTGCTCCTACAGGTAACTGTCAAAATTTCAAACCTGCCTTTTCTCGGTAATAAAAAGCATCAACATCCCCACAGTATGCATCTCCTCATTTATAGTTATTAATTTTAATAAGTAGACAATGCTCAATAAAAGTATTAAAAACACAAGTGATATTTTCTGCTTTGAAAGCCCTAAGTAACACTGTTAATTTTGGTCTTTGATCTTTACCCAGTGGTTCTGCCTAAGAAGCACTGTCGCAGATCATAAGACAGATGAAGTAAGTAGTATTTCTTTGCCAGAAAAGAACAGTCAGAACTCCAGGCAGTTTTTAACAGCACTTAATGCTTTTCCCATCTCCATTCTGTTTCACAGGAAGAAAAAACAAAGAGACAAATAAGCAGCATCTCTGTAAATGACTGCCAACTATTACTGGAAGCAAAAGGGTCATATTATTGACAAAAAAGGTGACCAGGTGACCAGTGATTTCCATTGCTTGGACTTATCATGCACCTGAAATCATAGGTCACGAGGTTGTCAGTGTCAACTACAATACAGGGAGAGTAGCCTGGATAAGAGGCAACATTTAACAAAGATATAAAATTTAAAGAACTCTCTACAGTAATTTGAATACAGTTTATAGGAAAATGTTTTTCTCTTCCCTTAAAAAAATTTAAAAATATAAATATCCGTTAAACACATTTGAAGAGAGATGTGTTTTTTAAACTCTTTCAGATATGCCAAGGTAAACATGTGACATAAATATTGTAATGGTTATGAGTAATACATACCTGATCATGCAGAAATGCCTTATTCCCCATTGCTCTTCTTGATATGAAAGTCATTGCAAGAATAAATTCCACAAGTCAGGGACCCACAGCTATAATGAAAATCACAATGAATTTAATTTTGTAATGTGAATCAGAAGGGATATTTTCTTTTTGACCTCTCTATTTTTGTAATAAGGACAGAGAGAGAGGAAAGAGACAGAAAGACAGAGAGAGAGAAATTAGTGTCTAAATAGGATCATTTAATAGGATGAAACTTAAGGATCATCCAGTCAAACCTTTATCATTTCTACAATATCACTTACAGATATACATACAAAGTGATTAAACCTTTTTAGAGATGGATATCTTACTACTTCTTGACCATTTGATAGACATGGAATCCTCTGTCCTGAGATTTCATTTACTTAATTAAAAAAATCATTTTTGCTGTGCCAGGCATTGAGCTAGCTTTTTCTCATTTTTGCCCTCTTTTGTTTGGCCTCATTTTGTATTCCTCTTCCACAGGAATATAACCAAATATATAATAGCTTGGTTGGTCAAATGTCCTCATTTGCCCAGAAAAGTTTCAGTGTACTTCCATTGCCCTGGCTTAATTGTTAAAAACTCTTCCTTTCACTTGAAAAAAATGTCCCTATTTGGGCAATAAATTACATGTCACCTGAGTAATGTCAGCTATAACTCTTCTGTTCTTGGTAACACATTTTTGGTTTCTTCCTTTTCCTAAAGAAATCAAAAAACACAAATGAGGATCAGATAGCAATGTATAGCCAGATTTTTTTCCTCAGGAAATGAGGCTGCTACTAGTCATGTGCAAAAGGTTAAGGCACTCGGCTGCTAAGCGAAAGGTTAGTGGTTCAGGTCCATCCAGACATGCTGCAAAAGAAAGGCCTGGCAATCTACTTCAGAAAACAGCCATAGAAAACTTTATGGAGCACAGTTCTACTCTGACACACGTGGGGTCACCATGAGTCAGAGTCTACTGGACAACGACTGAGTTTTTGTTTAATAAAAATGGTATTGAAAATCTAGCCCAGACATATAACTTGTTATAAGTAGTAATTTCGGGCCAAAGAAAAACTAACTGAGCAAATACTGATTTACTATTTTAAAAATTTAAAGTTTGATTACCTAAGTCCTAATATAATTATATTTTAAATGAATAGGGTTTAATATTAAAAACTAACAAGGGGAAGGAAGGAACGGGAAGAAGGAAAAAGAATGAGCTAGAGAAAACAAAACACCAAGACTTCTCACTGTTAGTTTCAAAAAATTGAGTTTTTCAGTAGAAAAATCCACGTATGAAAATACTACACCATAAAGTTTATACAATGTTTTTCTGATAGTTGTAGACATTTTGTCTGACTTAGGATGACCTATCCTTTAAGCGTTAATCTTCTAAATTTATAAAGAAATATGTAGAAGATATTTATGTAAAAAAAAAAATGTAGAATTTCTAGAATATCCCATCTAAATGTTCTAAAATTTTTTAAAGTGTTTAGTTAATTTTGTATTTATACCTAACCTGTAAAATACACTTAAAAATTTGTTTCAGTTGATTTATTAAGATATGAAAGTATCACCATTATTTCAAGCAATATCTACACTGAAAAATTGAGCTGTTCCCAAATTTCAGGATATTTTAGTACAAACTTCTAAAATGTTTTATAAAATTGTACCTGGTTATACAGCTGGAACACTCCTTTATATGTAAGAAAATGTAAAATTTCAAACAACGTAGGCTTTTTGCCTAAATGGAAGCCCCTGTAAGCAAAATGGCTTTGAAAATCATGGAAGGAAATCTTCCATGCTTTTTATATAGGAAATAGAGGACTCAAAAGGACTGAAATTATTTTATCACAAAAACGGCAAGGTGGAAAACCAATTTGTTCAGGAAGCACTGTGTATTATTAAAAATATGGCTGACCTTCACTTCTTGACAACAGGATCACATAATTGGCTATTGTATGGAAAGCTACAGCACAGTTATTTATCTTTTCATGTTCTTCAAAAGCTTCTGCCATTTCATTTCTTTAGTCTAGATTAGAAAATCCTTTCAAGTGCCTTTTTCCCCAGGGTTTATTCTAAATTCAAGAAAAATGGTTTAAAATTTCCTCTTTTACCCTTCTCCATGCCATTCTGTTAACTAAATGAATAGACAGTGCCATTGCTTATGTTTGCACAATTTGCCCATTCATGCTTCTAGAACCAAGTAAAGAAAGTTTTGGCTAGCCCAATTTTGTTTCCTTTGTACTTGGGCTTTGTATACTAGCCACCATTTTCTGCTTACAGAAGAAATATCTAAGTTGTGTTCTTTGATTGAAAAGTTTGGAATACATGACAGTAATCACCAAACATATTGGTACTTCAATTCCTGAACAACTTAGATACTTTAATATATGAATACATTCATTATTAATTTATCATTATTATCTTCTGTGACTCTTGAAGCTTAAATACAGTGTGCACATTTTTTTTTCAAAATGTATTTTAGCTATTCTAGTTCTTTTGGCTTTGTAAATAGATTTCAGAATGATCTTCTCTATATCTACAAAAAATTTTGCTGAGATTTTGATAGGAAATATATAAAACCTGTATATCAATTTGGGGAGAATTAACATCTTTACTATTTTAAATCTTCAAAACTATGAAGTGCATATGATATGTCTTCATTATTTAGATTTATTTTATTTCATCAGACTTTTATAGTTTAGAAGATAGCATACAAGTCCTGTACATGTTTTGTTAGATTTACAGCTTTTTTTTTGTAGAAATTGTTAAAGGTATTGTATTTTTAATTTGGTTTCCACATGCTCATTGCTAGTACATAGAAAAATATATATATATCTGTTTCTTTGATGTAGATCTTGTATCTATTTATAGCCTTGCCAAACTCACTTTCAAGTTCTAAGAGTTTGGTTTTTTGGGTTTTTTTGTTTTGTTTTGTTTTTTATTTCTTCCTTTCTAATTTGTATGTCATTTACTTCCTTTTCTTGTTTTAGTACATTGGCCTGAACTTCCAGTACTATGTTAAATAGCTGTGGTGAGAGCAGAATTTCTTGCCTTGTCCCCAAACTTTAGGGAAAAATATACAGTCTTTGATCATTAAATATGATGATAACTCTACATTATTTTTAGAAGTTCTTTATGAGAGGATGAAGATCCAGTATATTCTAGTTTTCTGAGAGTTGTTATCATCAAATATTTTCTGCATCAACAAATCTGATGGTGAGATTATTCTTCATTAGCCTGTTAATAAGGTGAACTACATTAGTTGATTTTTGAATGTTAAACCAGCCTTGCATCCCTAAAATAAACTTCACTTGGTCATAGTATATATTTATTTTTGTAGATTGCTAAATTCAATTTGTCAAGATTTTAAAAAGAATTTTAAAAACTGTGATCCTTAAACTTGTGTGTCAAGTTGGCTGGACCATGATTCCCAGTAGTTTGGCAGTTAGGATGTAGTTTGGCAGTCATATGATAATGTGATCACTTCCATGGTGAGATTTGATATAATGTGATGACCTCCATGATGGGATCTACTATGAGCAGCCAATCAGTTGAAGGGGAATTTCCTTGGGGGTGTGGCCTGGATCAAATATAAGTGGACTTTCTGGCAAGGCTTTTGGTTGCTCTGGATCCTGCAGATGGCTCCTGTTAATCTGATCTCCAGTTCTTGGGACTTGAGCTAGCAGCTTACCTGTTGTCTTGCCTACTGATCTTGGGATTCATAGATCTTCGATGCCTGTGAGTAAGAGCCCTGCTCTCTGACCTGCTGATCTTGGGTTCATCAGCCTCTATCCTGATGCAGACTTGAGACTTTCCAGCATCTACAATTGCATGAGCCATTTCTTTATATATATTTCCATGCTTTACTGGTTTTGCTTCTGTAGAGAACCCAGCCTAAGACAGCAACTATATTCATGAAGAATATTGGTTTGTAGCTAACTTTTTTTTTACTGTCTTTGTGTGGTTTTGGTATCAGGATAATACTGTCTATCTCCATAAAATGAATTGAGAAGGTTTCCATCCTCTTCTGTTTTTTGAAAGAGATTGTGTAAAATTGGTGTTAATTCTTCTTTAAATGTTTGGTTGTATTTTTTAATGAAACATCTGGGCCTGAAGATTTCTTTACTGAAAGATTTTTAATTATGAATATTTCTTTAAATTTTTAGTGATATTCAAATTATCTGTTTAATAATGTGCCAGTTGTGCAGATTTGTGTTTTTCACTAAGTCGTCAAATATATGAGTGTAGAGTTGTTCATAGTGTTTTCTTATTATTCTTTTGATCTACGAGGATCTGTAGTGATATCTCATTTCTTTTATGACAGTAGTAATTTGTGCCTTTTCTCTTTTTTTTCTTCATTGAGTCATACTAGAAATTTTTTTAAATTTTGTTGATCTTTTCAAAGACAATGTTTATTTCATTGATTTTTTTCTATTATTGTTCTGTTTAAAATTCCACAGATTGCCATTCTTATCTTAATT